AACCCAGATACTCACTTTAATTTCTATTTTACCTCCTTTGTGTTCCACAGTAATCCTGTCTTCAGTCTTTTTCACTTTTTTATTCAACTGCAGTAACACTCTGTTTAAATATTCTCACTGAAATATCCACAGTGACTTATTTCTTGGAGAACCCCACAGCTTCAGAGCACATCACTACATGTGAATTTAGACCATTTTTGCCAGCATGCATTACTTGACATTTAGAGAATGTCACCATGATACATAGTTGCTCGTGCACCAAAATCTACTTGGAGATTTTTGCCATCCATTAGTGTCTCTACCAAATACTTACTGCTCTCCCTTTTTTCAAATACAAATCTACTGCAAATGAAAACTTCACTGTTGACAGGCCTATGAAATGCTCTGCTTCTCCAAAGAACACACAGGCTGGCAAATGGATGGAAGTTTCTACATTCAGATTTATCTCAGTATGTTGATACTATCATGTAAAGGGATCACCCCTCCTAAACGAAGGGGATGCTCAGGGTTTAAAGTCCATGGAATTTTTCAGATGCCAGTTTCATTACCATTTAACATCAGTGCTGCTGAGAGCAGGGAGCTGTAGGGGCATCCAAGAGTTGCGAACTACACTGACGCTCCCAGACTCCTTTAAACGAAGCCACAGCACTCTGCATACTTAAGCTTTTGTGTTCCTGCAGCATTTAACATGGGCACAAATACTTATCTGGAGTTTTAAGAGAATGTGTCCCGACTGGACTTGTCTTTGAGGATTTGGTTGCATCAGGGTTTTGGGGACTATTCAAGTGTTCGGAACATTTGATGAAGCATCCCACTGCACACAGATCTCCAAGAAATCAAAGAATAAGGATACCCTGATGAGCTATGTTCATCCACCTCCAGGGTGAAATACAAAATATATGTACTGTTTCAAACCAAAACAAACAAGAATTTAAGAATCTCCTATCTAAAATAAGCATATCATTTGCAGGACAGAGATGAGAGCTGGCAGAAATTCTATTCACTTCCTAATTGTTATTGTCATCATTTCATGATGTGTACTCTAAATCCTGACACAATTTACTCAAAGAAGTCTTCTGAAAAACCTAGTAACTCACAGTCCCTATGCTGTGTTCATGTGTACTCCCACGTTTGTGCAACTTCATTCTTACAAAGTCTAACAGGTGTAAGATTCCTCCTTTCTAATTAAATGGTAATTTTACCCCAGATTTACTCCCAGACAGTCATTGCCCTGCACTATCCTGACATTCTCACTCAGTCCCCTCACAGAAAGAAGGCACTGTGCACATCTCCTGATTTCTGGGACCTTGCTGTTCCAGTCTGGAGGTAAATCCTACACTGGTGCTTTGTCAGCTGTCATGAACAGCTGCTGATTTTTCAGGATATATCACATGTCCTCATCAGTACCTCTGCTATTTCACACTTTATTCCCTGCAGTAACTTGAGAAGAGCATCATCCGGTCTAGGTGATCTGCCACTCCTCAGGTTCTCAAGCTGCTTTATATAAACCAGAGACATGCAGATCAAAGCCCCAGAGTATTAAGAGAAAGGAATACCTAGTAATGTTTTGGGTTTGATGTAAAAATCTCAAATTTGTGCGCAACACATATTTCCATGTGAGGTTGATTTTCAAATTGATTTTCAATTTAATTGTACCGGAAAACTGAAGTTTGCCTTGAGATCACCACAAACATGCACAAATCAGAACTTGCCATTCTGAATCTGCCACCTGCCTCTGTCTGAAAGTTTTGAAATATGAAAATAGTGTTAAAGCTGTACTTCTCACAGATTAAAGATTCCCATCAGACTTCCAGTTTCCTCACTGGTATTTCAGATCACTTCTTTCCCTCATTTAAAAACCAAAACAAAACCACAAAAAAAAAAAAACAACACCGCACCAACAGAAAGAAATCCAACAGTAGCACAAATCTAGGTTTTGTGAAACCAAGAATGGGCACAAGTTTCCAGTGTAGGTAATTACTACCGTCACCTTTAAGGAGCTATGGCAAATTAGACTTTTTGTTAGCAAGTGGAAAAAAAGTGCCTTCCACTAGCCTGTACAGTTGCAGTTAATAATTTGACCTGTGTTTTTACCTTTGATCAGAGAAGACTGAAGTTGTTAAAATTGTTCAGCCTAAAACAATTTATGAAATCCTGACCATAATTAACATATATATGCATTTTACAGATGAGAATACAAGCAAATATACAGTGTATCCACCATTTCCCCCAAAATTGGAACAAAAATGTTACTTCCTATTACTTGCATTTTCAAAGTTATTTTAAACTAAACATTCAGCAAATAAACAGACTTCAAAGGGACACCATTTTCAAAAATTACTATTCCCAGACTCAGCAAATTAGCTTATTGGTCTCACCACAGGTATCCAACATTATTGCTTTTTTTTTTTTTAAAAAAAAAAAAAAAAGCAATATACCAATTTTATATTTTATGCACATTCAGAAATTGTTATTTTCAGTAACAAAATCAACAGCAGCAGTGAAGCATTTATCTCCTCAGAGAACAGCACACCTAGCTGTGAAACAGGTGATACAGCCAGAATTATTGCAAACTGCCAGACTCAGAAGCATGTTCAGTATCCCCTGTTGCCCATTTTCTCCAAAAGTTACTCCCAATGTTGCAAGGGGAGAGGGAGTCTCACCTCTGTCTCTTGCTTGGACTTTTGTTTTTTCTTAGCATTTCAGTTTATCAGTAGTGCTGCATAACCTTGACTGCAATAAGCTGACTAAAGAGCCTTCTCAAAGTCTGCATTCAGACAACATTGCTTTGCTTACATGCATGAAATCCTTCTGGAAATTGAACCCCAAAATGTCCAGATTTGGTTCAAACATTCAGGCTTTTACAGGCGTTTATTTAGGATTTTCCAAGATTTCAACTGCAAGATCAGTCTGCACCTCCCATGAGGACCAACTTTCCTCCTGGGCTCCTTGCTACTTGGCTAGAGGCCCAAAGGGAATGCCTATGCGCAAGGGAATTCCTCATCTCTCCCTATGCAGGTCTGTCAAAACCTCAAGGGAAGGCTGGCAAAGGTCTGTGCTTACGGGACACAATCCCCATGCTGAGACAGAATGGTAGATGCACAGAAGCAGAGAGATAAAACTGGAAAACAACAAACTGCTAAGCTTTCTAGTCCTGAAGGGAGTGCTTTCTAATTCCCGAGAGAGTTTTCAGCAGTGAAGTTTTGTTTTTATCTTAGATGACCAATATATCAGTATTAACTGGTAGTCATTAGAAGAAACTTTCTACTGAAAAACAAGACTAGTAGGAAAGGACTTTCTAAATACTATGAATTCAAAATGAGGCACAGTTCTCACATCCATAACACTACCATTTCTTCCATTGCCTTGTAGATAAATATTTCTCTGAAAAATGGCCAAATGTTCAAACAAAAACACATTACTTCAGAAGTTCAGTTCCTCTATGTGCACACTAATATTTTACCTACTTGGACAGGTGCAAAATATGGAAGACAACATGCTCTAAATGAAACCACAGCATCACACAGCTCTGCCAGTTCAACTATTACTTTGTTCTGGAGAACCCATTTTCAAAAATAACAAGTGTCTTGTTGAGGACAGGATGTGATCCTACACAAGAGCTGAAACTAGGGTTGGAAGAGAAGTTCTTGAAGACAGAAAATTTCAGACAATTGATTAATCAGATCAATCTTAAATTGCTACCTGAGGGTGGAAAATTATTCCCCTGCCTCCTTTAGAAGTGACAAATGAAAGCAATATTCTGCAGTAGGAAAGGGAGGTCAGTTTTCAGGTTTCATCAATACATTTCAATATGGTATTAATATAAACCTCTTTTTGAATACCTCCACAAGTAATCTCAGAGTCAAAAATATAATTTTTCTGTTACCAGAAGAATAAAAAGCACTTTGCAAAGATTGCCGATTAGTTTTTGTATAGAAATCTATCTCCAATTAACATGAAGTTCCTTTGTTTTCCTAATTAATGAGCATTATTCAGTATGAAACTTTATTTCTTTTAAACTTTATATCTTTAACATTTTGTTTTAAATGTGATTGATGAAATGAAGTGCAACTGAACAGCGGGATTCCTCTGGTCCATGCTCAGTACCACGCAGATACTGTTGTGAAGGTCACACAGTCAAGTAACTTCCTGCCATTAGCAGGTGCCTGGAAAATGAGGGAGAGGGTCTACAAAGGTGGAGGGGAGGGGGAAATCCAAAACCAAAACAAAGCAGGACTTCACAGGAACCAATGAGAGCTTTAACTGAGCCAGACTCCAAAGCCCCCTGCAGGTGATGTCAGTCTTTTCAGATCCATCTGGAAACCCTGGATGAAATCCTCTGTATTACACGGCAGAACTCTGATCAGCTTTACAGGCAAGTTGAATTCCTGGCCCCTTGTTTGGCAGAGGTAAGGATGACTTTGAAATTACTTCATTCACTTTTGAAGGGAGTACTATTCCTTCCTCCTCAGCCAGGATAAACCCCCAGATTTTCCAACAGAGACCCTTTTAAAGCAGAGGAAAGGGTTATATATGGACACCCAGGAGGAAGAAATTAAACACTCAGGTATGAGAGCCACCCAGCAGTAAAGAGCACTACTGTTTTCCAGAAGCTAATTCAAACATTCATTACCATAGCCCAGAAAGTGGCATAACTAATGACAAGCATTTCTGAATGCATACTGTTCCATCCCTCCCAAAGCCCTTCTTCCCATCTCATGTCAAGCCATTTTCCACAGCACTGCATGTGCACAGTACTGAATGCCATGAGCAAACATCATCCAGTACAATCAGTGAACTATGTTGAATACAGTGCATCTAAAAAGATCAGCAGATACAATGCAGCATCACATGTGATAAGTGTCATTCTTCATGTATTATTAGAGGAAGGAGATCTAGAAAGCTTGAAACACATTCAGTGCTTCCAGACCACAAAAAAGACTGGCCATTATGTCACTGAAAAGGTTAAAATTCAACAATTCCTGCAAGAACCCACTTACCAGCTATCCAAAGAGCCTGACAAGGACAATTTACACCTGTTCTGTTTCCTGCTGCTTTTGAAAAAGGAATCCATGCATCCCACACTCATAACTTCCAGGAAAAGTAAAAAAAAAAAATAAAAATCTGAAAGTCCAGCACCTCAGAGAGCCAGGCTACGTAGAAAAACAGTGAAGTGTTCAGTTTTTGAGGAAATCCTCTCCAGTTTCAACTCCTAAGCCCCTTCCCCAGTCTCCCACCACAGTATGTCAAACTGAATCAGGGAAATCTAAAGCAGGAGGAAGAAAAGAAGTATCAAAGGCTAATTCTTGTAAAAGAAATGGCGCTTGTGAGCTGGTCGGTATGAGTCTGCTGAAATGATGTATGGCTACGTGGGGAGCCTATATGTGCACACACATGCACACAGACGTCAGACCCTTCCTTGGAAGTGGATTAGGTGGCAGATGGTATCAGAACCTGAGATGCTGTCAAGAGCAGAGTTCATGCTGTCTTGCTCCCCTGCACTTAGAAATCAGCAAAGACAAGCCATTAAAAAAAAAAAAAAAAGGCTGATAAATAGCTGACAATCAGCTTTGTCATCGGCAACCATGGAACGACAACCCTTGTCTCACTCCCTTCTTCCCTGAGTCTTTATAGGCAAAATCCTCTCTCAAATGGAGACAAAAGAAGAAACTAACATAGACGAGCAATCTCCAGGCTTAAGAAATACCAGAGGCTCAGTTTTTCACAGGGAAACTAGAACCTGCTATTACTAATCCAAATATCAGAATTTAGGACAGAAAGGGTGGGGAGAACACCCAGATTAAGGTCTATTAAAAGCAAAGGGAGGGGAGAGAAAAAAAAAATAATCCAAAACCCATTGCCTTTGATTGCCAACACAGTGAAAATAAATGAGGGAAATAACATTTGGGAGGGACGTACCATCTGAAAGCAGACACAATGACTTTGTGCAGACACCCCTGTTATTAATAATTATTACAGATAATAAGCGTTTTCAGGCTGAGCAAAAGGATCTTTTTCAGTTCCTAAAAACTCGTCTCTCCCTGTCCTGTCACCTACCTCCCCTTTTTCTCTCTCCTCCGAGCACCTGCTTTACATAGCTTTCCTTGTATTATCATTGGCTTCATGGATAACTGAAGGCTGAGCTTGTCCAGCTGATGCTAAGAAAAGACCGACAAGGTGGTTAGACACACACCTACTATAAATAGACACACAACACGGCCAGCGTTTGCCAACATCTGATGACGCCTTCCCTCCTGGGTCCTAAAGTTAGCTAGTTTTGGAAAGACAGGGAAGCCAAGGAGAGCAAGGTAAAATGCTTTCAATTAATTTTGCAGAGATTGAAGGGATAAAAATAAGAGTGGGACTTTATATTTTTATGACATGCTAAAAATACCCACTTTATAAAACCTTCAGCATAGTTTGCAAAGCACAGTTTAAAAGCTTTTTTTTTTTTTTATTTTTTTTTTTTAGCAGCAACTGTGAAGCTCAAATTATTTAGCTGGTGCTGGGGTTTTTGCCGGTAGGGCTGCAAAGGGTCACGAGAAGATCTCTGCTGAGCACAGCCTGTGGGAGTTAGACAGAACAAAGCAAAACTCAAAATTGTACTAAGCCTCAAGGTATCTCTGCAAAGCTTAAATGCTCATGCTCAGGAGCTCACAGGTCGAAAGCTGTCAGTGGGTGAGTGCAGGGGAATCACTGCTGCCTCTGCACGGCTGGCAAGGAGACACAGGCTCCCTTGGGCACTGAGTCAGCAGCAAAACCTCCAGCCTCATCACCAGTTGGTTCTGGACACTTCTGGGGACATCTCCTGACCCATGCTCCATCAGATATGCCAGAGGTAGGTTTCCAGCTGGAAAATCCTTAGTCTTGCTTGGCTCATACGCAGCAGGCTGGAGGATGTATGTTATTGCACCATGCAGTTGACTTTTGCCTACACCTCCTTGCTGATGACCATGCCCACTGCCTGTCCAGTCCTGCAGTACAGAAGTGACCTTTGCCAGGTTCATGCAGACTCTCCCGCACGCTCACCCCACCGCACAGCTCCCCTTCCCTCGCGACTCACTCTGCAGAGCACACAAAGAACAACCTGCCTTTCAGAGCAACCTGCCTCTCAGGAGCCAGGTGGTATTTTCTGCCTTTGATCAGAGGAGAAGTGCTGTTAGAAAGGTTCCCTGGAGCGTTTCTACCTCAGGCTGTGGAAGTCGAGCACAAGCAGATGCTGCTCACAGTGTGCTTTGTCTTCCTTTTACAAAAAAGCTACCCCAACACGGTATAGGCTCCAAAGTTACTTGCTCCTGGATTGGGGTAACTGCTTATCTCTTTTTGTCTTAGTCATTGTGTCCATTTGCACTTTGCAGATCATATAGATTTAGAATTATTTTTTTTCCCCTAATGTAAGACGCTCTAGTTTTAGAAGTTCTTTGTGCCCTCTCTCTACAGTTACTAATATAGGCTGTTTCTATTTGCCAGGTTTCACTCACCGACGACCAGCTAAGCTTCATCAGTACAAATAAGCAGCAGTTTAAAATTCCTCCACCCTAAGGAAAGCAGCTGCAGCTAAGTATTTGCCCCAGCACATGCTGAGGTATCAGCACCAGTTCTGTCCTCGCAGTAGTCAACTCCCTTTTCAGAGCTGATGAACTTAGGTCTTTCTCATTTTCTTTCTTTGTGGTAATCTCAGACTGAAAGCCATTTTAGACTGCAGGAGTAAAGCTCCGTGCATATAAACAACCATTTGTCCTAATTCTCAATCAAATATCGAGATGGAGAAAATCTGACACTTCCAGTAGGAGAAACTACTTGTCTCTCAGTTTACTACGGCAGAGCTGTCATCACACACATACGGTGCCCAGTCATGACACAAGCGCAGTAGACCACCTCAGACCACAGAGAAGGGGGGAAAAAAGAGAATCTAAGAGAAGCCTCCATGCAGCTCTGTGACAGCAAGAACAGTGGTACAAAGCCACACAAGTTTAAGGAGCAGGAGGATAAATTCTTTAAAAAGCTCCAGAGATCTGCATAAGGTGGAGGTTTCATCCTGAAAAATTTAGAGCTCAAAGCTACTAAGAAAAGCTGTGTCAGGAGCAAAAGAAAAAAACCTCCCTTCTATAAAATTGCTTACCTAGCCAGTGCTGGAGGGCAAGCACACTACAGGGGAAACAAAGAAGAAAAGTATTCAAACAGCTTTTCCTCTCACCAGCCAAAAAATACACACCAAAATGGTAGCTTTAAATATTTAATGTCCAAAACAAACAAGAGAATTTCCCAAAACAAGACTGCTGGTTCAACACAAACCAGCAGCACTCACAATTAAGACAACAGAGGTTTTTGCACTAATACCAGTTGGGGACAAGTAAAACCCATTTAGAGATTAAAAGATGCAAGTTCACTTTAGAGTAGCAGGAGTCAGGTGGAGAACAAGTGACCTTCCCCCATCTTTGTTACACTTGCACAAAGTGGTTAACGTCACCAAAAGAGTGGAAGGCGGTTTAACAGGGATCAGTGCTAAGAGTCTCAATAGATTATGCTATTATTTTAAGATTCTGTAAGAGAACAAATTAACCTTCTTTATAACTCTTGGCTTACTTTAATAGATGTCATAGGCTGGAAATACCATCTTACATTCCTTTAATTTCCACACTGACTGTCCTCCTTACAATGAAAATCCACTATTTGAGGTCTTGGGTGGGGAGCGCTGGTGCTGTTGCCACATTGTCAAACTCTCAGCTGTTTGACTGGTGTCTTTGCTCATAGACCCATGAGTGAAGCAATCACCATCCTGAGATCGCCTCTCCCACAAGCTCAGGCCATTAGAATCCATTGGGATTTTCCCACCTTTCTTTATAGCAGATGGTATTGTGCATTTCCCCAAGATCATTTGAGTATTTTCACCTCCAGATTCCCACTCCTGCAGGGACCCAGGAGGTTGGCAATGTCTAACATATCTTTTTATGTCTCCTTGTGGCACAGAAGAGTTTTACAAACATAGTGCTGAAGAGCTTAATCTTGCTACAGGGATATAAGAGTTTTTTAGAATTTGTGATACAAGAAAATTTAGATTTTTTTTTCCCCTGCATTCAGACTGTGCAAATGCTATATGTTACCTGTAATCACAGGGACAGAACCCAATGGCCAGCACAGCCCCATCCAAGCCTTTATGTCTCTGTTGTTTTTCCCACCATCCTTTCAAAAATTTAAATGGGTTTTTGACAAGCACACAAGCCTGCACACCTCACACAAGCAGAAAGGTGTTTTTTCTGTAGATTATTCAAAGGTGTGTTTGGCTATCAGCCCACACTGAAATTATGCATTTCAGATACAGCTTTAATATAACACCTTATTTTACTTCAAATAGGGCTGAACAGCCAGAAGTTACTACTAATGCATAATCCCAGTGCAGAGTACACAGAGGAAAGAAGAGTGGAAGGCTTTCAGATGAGGGGAAAAAGGAATTTCCCAATGAAAGGGGAATTAAATCAGAGGAGCTCCTGAGGGTGACAACTGCAAAAGGAGATCTTCTGACTGGAGATCAGAAGGGACAAGAGGTGAGCTGAAACCAAGCCTGGGAAAGGGAAACCTTGCTTAGAAACATAGTAATGCCAGTACTAAGCGCCACATAAACAGCTCAGTCTGCCAGACTCTCTGGCTGGCTGAGGACTCCCGGAGGCCTCACCCCATCCACCACTTACTCTGTTGACTCAATCCTATAGAAATGCTATAAATGGGACATTTATAAAAAGTCTGGTTGGCAGAAGGGTTGAATGGCTGCAACCCCATCTTGAAGAATTCCCTCATGGTGCTTACAAACCAGAGCATGTATGTGGCACTTCCCTCTCCTCTGACAGAGTTTAGCCACAAGTGAGTGCCAAGGGTACATAGCACAGCTTTCCTTAATACACTGTTTTGCAAGCAAACCAGAACAAGGGAGAAATAATATGCCACAGGCTATACTCATGAATTCATTCAAAGAAAAGATGCACTGAGGTCTGGCATATTAATGGTGGCATTTTTAACACATCACTGTTGATGCAAGAACAAATCTTATGGCTTCGGAGGAGAATCCCATACACCCTGCTGGTTTTTGCTATTACTGGCTGGGCAGCTCAAGCTAACAGGCATTCCCCTACAGCTCTGCCTGCCACAACTTGTCACAGCTGCCCCAGGGCAGCCAAGACAAGCAAAAGGAGACTGACAACAGGCTCCCTCCCCAGATAGTTGGAGCATTGGTCAACGGACAGATTTTGAGTGTTATAAGGTAACGTACTATATGGTTCAGTCTGTCAGCCACTTGAGATATACACATCACATCTGCTTCTTGAGGACAGCATTAAC